TACCCCCTCATGTATAGTGTATGGACGGGACCTTATACTCCCTCATATATAGTGTATGGACGGGACCTTATACTCCCTCATATATAGTGTATGGACGGGACCTTATACCTCCTCATATATAGTGTATGGACGGCACCTTATACCCCCCTCATATATAGTGTATGGACGGCACCTTATACCCCCCTCATATATAGTGTATGGACGGGACCTTATACCCCCTCATGTATAGTGTATGGACGGGACCTTATACCCCCTCATGTATAGTGTATGGACGGGACCTTATACCTCCTCATGTATAGTGTATGGACGGGACCTTATACCCCCTCATGTATAGTGTATGGACGGGACCTTATACCCCCCCTCATATATAGTGTATGGACGGCACCTTATACCCCCTCATATATAGTGTATGGACGGGACCTTATACCCCCTCATGTATAGTGTATGGACGGGACCTTATACCCCCTCATGTATAGTGTATGGACGGGACCTTATATCCCCTCATATATAGTGTATGGACGGGACCTTATACCCCCTCATATATAGTGTATGGACGGGACCTTATATCCCCTCATATATAGTGTATGGACGGGACCTTATACCCCCTCATATATAGTATAAGGAAAACGATAAGGTGAGGTGACAGCCATAACCCACCTGTTGACACAAGGGATCGCAAGTACTTCACCCCTGGGATAGGTGGGTTGGGATACGATGGTGGGGCAGAGCTAAGGGTGGTGGGTAGGCGCCCGGGGCATTAAAGGATTGAGGTAAAGCTATGGGGAATCGAGTGAGGATCTGTGACGGGTGGATAAGGGGAGAGGGGAGGTATTAAAGTATTGGTGGAGGGAGCAGAGATATGGGATAGGGAAGTAGAGATTCAGGATAGTGGAGTGGGGGGGGGGGTAGAGAATCAGGATAGGGGGGGGTGTGGTTGGGAGATGTCAATATATGGGTTGAGTGAAGGAGATGAGTTGATATATAAACAAAACCTAACTGAGGAAAGATGTAGATGTTTCGTAAGTAGATACGTAAATACATCACAAATCTTGACCATATTATCAAGAAAACTAGCACCCATCACAGACACTTGAAACATAATATACATTTTCTTCCCAACAAACAGATGCTACAATCATTCTTTACATAGAATGATTGTAGCATCTGTTCCGCTACAGATGCTACAGAAATCAGAATGATTTCTCGGGCCATTAGGAACAATAACCATTGTTTGAGAGGTAAACAGGAGCAGATCCCAATACATATCCCATTAACTTAATGACAACTTGTAGGGCGAGCCTCGAGTTTTCACTCCTGATAACATCTTAAGGTAGGTAATTGCCCGTGGCAAATTACCGGAACAAACCTCTTAACAGGCAGCCTGATATATCTTTCTCGTCACCAAACAAGTTTCTGCTTAAGGACCTTAATGTTTCTGCTACAGGATCAGCTAGGCTGTGCGACCCGTCCTTCTAAGAACACTATGTAAAGTATCTTCTTCTAACCTAACTCATCTCTCAAGACCGGAAACAGAAAACGGGAAAGTACGTCAATTTCGCTTCCATTTTCTAGTACGACAATATTTGTCCTTATGTAACGCATACGAGCGAAATGCGACGTTCTTTGTAGCGGAACAGGTTGGGCTGTGATGGCTATCTGAGCCTGCGGGCTTTTACGAAGACAAACAGCCTCACAGACCAGGCAATCAACAGATAAGACCGGCCGCTTGGGGTAAGAGAACTCACAGTTCAGTTAACCGGTCAACGGGTAAAGTGCTTGTGAGCGGCCTGGCGGCGGCGGCTCCGCCTCACGTGGCGGGAAAATGGAAATAATTGTCCGAAACGGTGTGCGTGGTTGTGGCTTTAGACATAATATATACTAGCTCTATCTAGACCTCCAACATTCTATTTTCAACTCATTTTCTATGCATGTATTTTCCCTATATAAATATTATTATTATCATTTATTATTATAAAATGACGAGAAAAGTGGAAACTCATTCCCAAATATTAATTTAATTTCGCTACTTAAAAATTAATCACTGGGATAATATACTTTAAAAACAATTGATAATATACAAAAATATATATTCTGAAAGCAAAATTATAACTATATTCTCCAAATAGAACAAATATTGTAGCTTAGTTTGTGATGACTTTTAAGGAGAATCGCGCGCGGACACCTAACAGGATTTAGGATGACCCGAGACAGTTCTTTGAGAGGAAGGATTAACGGATCAACGGATGGCGGATTGTGATGGAAGTGAGAAGCCTGTAGGCGCCGGGGTTCGCATCCCCCACCGGTCGCCGGTACCCAGAACCTAAGCATCGAAGGACCGGCCTATAAATCTTGTAGGGCGAATGTTTGGTTGTGACAGGAAGAGCCGGTGGTGGTAGTGGTGGGACCTGGGGGGGGGGGGGACAGTGAGGTCTTGTCAGTCACCACCCCACAGGAAACGACAGGTGGAGGGGGGGGGGGTTGTGTCTCTGTCTCATGGGTGAGGACTTCTTCATCTGTCTGTTGGTTGAGGACTTCTTCTCCTGTCTGTTGGTTGATGACTTCTTCTCCTGTCTGTTGGTTGATGACTTCTTCTCCTGTCTGTTGGTTGATGACTTCTTCTCCTGTCTGTTGGTTGATGACTTCTTCTCCTGTCTGTTGGTTGATGACTTCTTCTCTGTCTGTTGGTTGAGGACTTCTTCTCCTGTCTGTTGGTTGATGACTTCTTCTCCTGTCTGTTGGTTGAGGACTTCTTCTCCTGTCTGTTGGTTGATGACTTCTTCTCCTGTCTGTTGGTTGAGGACTTCTTCTCCTGTCTGTTGGTTGATGACTTCTTCTCCTGTCTGTTGGTTGAGGACTTCTTCTCCTGTCTGTTGGTTGATGACTTCTTCTCCTGTCTGTTGGTTGATGACTTCTTCATCTGTCTGTTGGTTGATGACTTCTTCATCTGTCTGTTGGTTGATGACTTCTGTCTCATGGTTGAGGACACAGGCTGCGTCTAATGCAGCCTGTGTCACACATATAATGATATATAATGAATGGCTTCATTAGTGAAGCCAGCTTTTTCAGAAATTATGAAGCGCTGTCCTGAGAGTGGTCATTGTTTACACCGAGTCCTTGAGCTACACTGTGGGCCTGCGGGCCGCTTGTTTGTGCCACAAACAGCCTGGTGGACCAAACTCTCACAAGTCAAGCCTGGCCTCGGGCCGGGCTTGGGGAGTAGAAGAACTCCCAGAACCCCATCAACTAGGTCCGACTTTCAGATTTTGGACTGGGTTATTCGTGATAACCTTGTTACTGTGATATTTGAGTCAAAGGTTTTAAATAGAGGTGGGGTTTCCTCCTTTTTCCCTGTTTCTTTTTTCGCTTCTGTTTTAGTCGTGTTTTTGACCTGAGAGTTGTGGAAAGTTTAATTGTTTAGTTCCCCTTGATGTGTGTTTTTGGGGCTCTCTCTTTTTTTAAGTAGGATAGGCTTTGTAATTTTCTAATTAATTGCGCTACTGAATATAACAATTGGGTGGTTGTAACTTCTATAATATTTGTGTTTCTTGATAATGTGTGACTTGGGTAATTTGGTAATGATTGATTTAATTTGGTCTTGCATAGAATCTTTGAATCTTTAGGGGTGTTAATTGTGATTTTGATTTAGTCCTTATTGTCAATGTTGAATTCAGTCAAATCTTAGTTTGTTTGATTATTATGTAAATTAGCTTTGGTGTTTGCGCCTTTGGGAATATCTTGAGATGATTTCGGGACTTATCGTCCCCGCGGCCCGGTCCTCGACCAGGCCTGTAATCACGTATTCAGTGTAAGTTCTTTGTTAACTGTTGATTTTAATTCTAGTTTTCTGTATATTAAACCTGACGATGAATGCTAATTCGTATTTGAAACGCTATGGATTGTAATTGAAAAGTAAATATGTTAATTAAACAAGATGTTCGCATTATCAATCGTGTTCAATTAAATTAATCATCAATGATACATCAATCATGTATCATTAAATTAAGATCCCAGAAGGGAACCTCCATCTTAAATATATATGTAATATATATTACGAAAAGAATAGGGGTGGTACGAGAAGAAAATATCAAAGTGTTCAGTGAAGACCCACAAGGTCTCTTCACTCTTTATTTTCTTCTCCGAGGCTATGGGTCCCTACAGTTGCACCAGAGGTGGTACCCCTCCCTGTAATATATATATATATATATATATATATATATATATATATATATATATATATATATATATATATATATATATATATATATATATATTAGATATATAGATATATATTAGATATATAGATATATATATAAGCATATTTGTTCCTGTAAGCATATTTGGGTAAATATTACAGCATTGCTGACGTTGTTAATCTTATAGTGTAAACTTTCTAACTATTGTCTTACTCGTTATTAAGAACAATCAAGTTACAGAAATTCATGGTAAAGAAACTAATGATTATTGAAAGCTATATTTTCTACAACGTTCAGTTCCACTCTGGAACAAAATATTCATGAATATTCCAGGGGCAAATCGATCATACATAGACATATAAAAGGTGATGTAATCATACATAAGGGGAAGAAATAGGGGAGTTTGTTGGCACCCATCGCCGGTATTCCTCTTATGTCTTCAAAATTGGGTCAGGTTAGGGTTGAAATTGAAATTGAAATAAGTTTATTGAGCTAAAATATATATAAAGGAATGAGGTATCTGCCCGAAACGCTGCGCCTACTAGTGGCTTTACAAGAATGTAATTACTCTGCTATTTATCCTCACAATCCCAATGTACCTTCTTGTGTATATATATATATATATATATATATATATATATATATATATATATATATATATATATATATATAAATAAATAAATAAGGTAGCTCAAGCTATTCTCACCCCGATCATAGTGTTAATACATATATAGACACACATCACAAACAATAAACATATTACTGAACATTGTGAGAGAGTGGGTTGGGTTGATTGACAGAGCAGCGATGACTCAAGAGGTTTCCTCTCAGGTCCTAGACACTACTCGTGCTAGGCTGCGGCTGCCTAACTCTCGAATCCTTCAACGGATAAAGAAAAGGTGATCAGTGAATCCATATATATCACGGTCATCACGTGATGAAGTATGGCTTGAGGGTGTGTATTGACCTAGTTGTATTCACCTAGTTGTATTGACCTAGTTGTATTCACCTAGTTGTATTTACCTAGTTGTGTTCACCTAGTTGTATTCACCTAGTTGTATTTACCTAGTTGTATTCACCTAGTTGTATTTACCTAGTTGTATTCACCTAGTTGTATTTACCTAGTTGTATTCACCTAGTTGTTTTTACCTAGTTGTATTCACCTAGTTGTATTCACCTAGTTGTTCTTGCTGGTGTTGACAGTACCAACCACGTGACTGGTAGTGTGGGTGTTCAGGACGTGTACCTCACAAACAAGTCTGTACATCCGGTGTTCCCACGGTCAGGTCACTTGAGGTCACCCACCAGCCTCTAAGGCGCGTCTGGGATCATCCCGGATGTAGGTTCGAACCCCGTGTTTGTGTGTGTGTGTGTGTGTGTGTGTGTGTGTGTGTGTGTGTGTGTGTGTGTGTGTGTGTGTGTGTGTGTACTCACCTAGTTGTACTCACCTAGTTGTGTCTGCAGGATCGAGCATTGACTCTTGGATCCCGCCTTTCGAGCATCGGTTGTTTACAGCAATGACTCCTGTCCCATTTCCCTATCATACCTGGTTTTAAAATTATGAATAGTATTTGCTTCCACAACCTGTTCCTGAAGTGCATTCCATTTTTCCACTACTCTCACGCTAAAAGAAAACTTCCTAACATCTCTGTGACTCATCTGAGTTTCAAGCTTCCATCCATGTCCCCTCGTTCTGTTACTATTCCGTGTGAACATTTCGTCTATGTCCACTCTGTCAATCCCTCTGAGTATCTTATACGTTCCTATCATGTCCCCCCTCTCCCTTCTTCTTTCTAGTGTCGTAAGGCACAGTTCCCTCAGGCGCTCCTCATACCCCATCCCTCGTAGCTCTGGGACGAGTCTCGTTGCAAACCTCTGAACCTTTTCCAGTTTCATTATATGCTTCTTCAGATGGGGACTCCATGATGAGGCGGCATACTCTAAGTGGCCTGTGGCAGTGTGCGCCTGTGTGGTTTCTGTGTGTGTGTGTGTGTGTGTGTGTGTGTGTGTGTGTGTGTGTGTGTGTGTGTGTGTGTGTGTGTGTGTGTGTGTGTGTACTCACCTAATTGTACTCACCTAATTGTGCTTGCGGGGGTTGAGCTCTGGCTCTTTGGTCCCGCCTCTCAACCGTCAATCAACTGGTGTACAGATTCCTGAGCCTATTGGGCTCTATCATATCTACATTTGAAACTGTGAATGGAGTCAGCCTCCACCACATCACTTCCTAATGCATTCCATTTGCTAACTACTCTGACACTGAAAAAGTTCTTTCTAACGTCTCTGTGGCTCATTTGGGTACTCAGCTTCCACCTGTGTCCCCTTGTTCGCGTCCCACCAGTGTTGAAAAGTTCGTCCTTGTTTACCCGGTCGATTCCCCTGAGGATTTTGTAGGTTGTGATCATGTCCCCCCTTACTCTTCTGTCTTCCAGTGTCGTGAGGTGCATTTCCCGCAGCCTTTCCTCATAACTCATGCCTCTTAGTTCTGGGACTAGTCTAGTAGCATACCTTTGGACTTTTTCCAGCTTCGTCTTGTGCTTGACAAGGTACGGGCTCCATGCTGGGGCCGCATACTCCAGGATTGGTCTTACATATGTGGTGTACAAGATTCTGAATGATTCCTTACACAGGTTCCTGAACGCCGTTCTGATGTTAGCCAGCCTCGCATATGCCGCAGACGTTATTCTCTTTATGTGGGCTTCAGGAGACAGGTTTGGTGTGATATCAACTCCTAGATCTTTCTCTCTGTCTGTTTCATTAAGTACTTCATCTCCTATTCTGTATCCTGTGCCTGGCCTCCTGTTTCCACTGCCTAGTTTCATTACTTTGCATTTACTCGGGTTGAACTTCAACAGCCATTTGTTGGACCATTCACTCAGTCTATCCAGGTCATCTTGTAGCCTCCTACTATCATCCTCTGTTTCAATCCTCCTCATAATTTTTGCATCGTCGGCAAACATTGAGAGGAACGAATCTATACCCTCTGGGAGATCATTTACATATACCAGAAACAGTATAGGTCCAAGGACTGACCCCTGCGGGACTCCACTTGTGACGTCTCGCCAATCTGAGACCTCACCCCTCACACAGACTCGTTGTCTCCTGTTGCTTAGGTATTCCTCTATCCACCGGAGTACCTTCCCTCTCACTCCAGCCTGCATCTCCAACTTTCGCACTAGCCTCTTGTGTGGCACTGTATCAAAGGCTTTCTGACAATCCAAAAATATGCAGTCTGCCCACCCTTCTCTTTCTTGCCTTATTTTTGTTGCCTGGTCGTAGAATTCAAGTAACCCTGTGAGGCAGGACCTGCCATCCCTGAACCCATGTTGATGCTGTGTTACAAAGTTCCTTCGCTCCAGATGCTCCACTAGTTTTTTTCGCACAATCTTCTCCATCAGCTTGCATGGTATGCAGGTTAGGGACTCTGGCCTGTAGTTCAGTGCCTCCTGTCTATCCCCTTTCTTGTCTATCGTGTGTGTGTGTGTGTGTGTGTGTGTGTGTGTGTGTGTGTGTGTGTGTGTGTGTGTGTGTGTGTGTGTGCGTGCGTGTGCGTGGGGGGGGGGGACTGCGTTACCAGGGGCAGGGGGGACCTGCGTTACCTGGTGCTATAAGCCAGGACTGTGAGGGCAGCGTATAACCCTTGATAAGGTTAGTCAGCGCTGGGACAATAGCCGTAGCTATCGAGGGTCAGGGCTGAGGGATGGGATTGAAAAGGAAGGGATTGGGGGATAGGGGGAGGAGGGAGGGATAGGAGCAGGTGTCGCACTTGTTCTTCCCTTTCCTTTATCTCCCCTTAACCCGTCCACCATCTCCGTTCTCCTCTTGGCCAGCGTTATTTGAGTATTGTCTGGGAGGGACTTTTGTTCCGTTGGGTCGGGTCCCGTGTCGGTTCCCCTGGGGGCCCTCCTTCCTCCTCTTGTTCAAGGCCCGTTATCCCAGCCCTCTCTTCAAGGCCCGTTATCCCAGCCCTCTCTCCAAGGCCCGTTATCCCAGCCCTCTCTTCAAGGCCCGTTATCCCAGCCCTCTCTTCAAGGCCCGTTATCCCAGCCCTCTCTTCAAGGCCCGTTATCCCAGCCCTCTCCTCAAGGCCCGTTATCCCAGCCCTCTCTTCAAGGCCCGTTATCCCAGCCCTCTCTTCAAGGCCCGTTATCCCAGCCCTCTCTTCAAGGCCCGTTATCCCAGCTCTCTCCTCAAGGCCCGTTATCCCAGCCCTCTCTTCAAGGCCCGTTATCCCAGCCCTCTTTTCAAGCCCTCACCCCCTCACACCCCCCCCCCACCCCCCTCCAAGGTGTTTTTCTCCTCAGTTCTCTGTCTTCGAGGATCCATCGATCCTCGAAACCACCTGAAGGTAAACCCCAGGCAATATGTAGGGTTACACTCTCGTGTAGCTGCAACCCGTCCTCCTGATACCACGTCGCATTGTGACGTACACGTTACCTAGGGCCAGAAACTGTCATACCTGACATTGATAGTGGCTGGCGAAAGTGACATGCTGTCCCGTTTTCTGTTTTGGGACCTCTGGAAGTTTAGGATAACGGCACTTTAGTACGTCAGTTTCTTGACGTTGGGAGACATTAGAAGGACAGGCAGGTGTGTCAAGAGGTAGGGACAGGCAGGTGTGTCAAGAGCTAGGGACAGGCAGGTGTGTCAAGAGCTAGGATCCCCATCTCGCTGGATAGTTAGTCATATAGGGCTATGATTGATTGATTGATGAAGATTAAGCCACCCAAGAGGTGGCACGGGCATGAATAGCCCGTAAGTGGTGGCCCTTTTGAGCCATTACCAGTATCAAGAGCTGATACTGGAGATCTCTGGAGGTGCGACTGCACCCTGCGTGACGGGAGATTGTCTCCCGGACCAAGTGGTGACCAGATGGTGAAAAAAAAAAAAAGTAGGGCTATGAGAATAGTAGCCTGTAGTTGGGAACTTAATTTAAAAGGTATTCTGAGGACATAATTAAGAACACAAGAGCTCATTAAGTAATTGCAACGCTCCTGGTACCCCTCAGCCAGGCACCTCTGATGAGGCTGATGATTCGGGGATTCAGTAATGATTTGGGAGATCATCATACAATTCCTGCTCACAGAGTTTGCACCTGGAGTGCTCAGGATTGGGAGATCCGTCACCTGTAGCCACCTACCACAGGTAACGGTAGCCCACCTGCCACAGGTAACGGTAGCCCACCTGCCACAGGTAACGGTAGCCCACCTGCCACAGGTAACGGTATAGCCACCAGCTACAGGTAACGGTAGCCACCTGCCACAGGTAACGGTATAGCCACCTGCCACAGGTAACGGTATAGCAACCTGCTACAGGTAACGGTAGCCACCTGCCACAGGTAACGGTATAGCCACCTGCCACAGGTAACGGTAGCCACCTGTTCATAGGAAACGGTAGCCACCTGCCACAGGTAACGGTAGCCACCTGCCACAGGTAACGGTAGCCCCCTGCCACAGGCAACGGTAACCACCTGCCACAGGTAACGGTAGCCACCTGCCACAGGTAACGGTAGCCTCCTGCCACAGGCAACGGTATAGCCCCCTGCCACGCTCGCAGGCAAGTGAACGCTCGCAGACAAGTGAACGCTCACAGGCAAGTGAACGCTCGCAGGCAAGTGAACGCTCACAGGCAAGTGAACGCTCGCAGGCAAGTGAACGCTCACAGACAAGTGAACGCTCACAGGCAAGTGAACGCTCGCAGGCAAGTGAACGCTCACAGGCAAGTGAACGCTCACAGACAAGTGAACGCTCACAGACAAGTGAACGCTCACAGGCAAGTGAACGCTCGCAGGCAAGTGAACGCTCACAGGCAAGTGAACGCTCACAGGCAAGTGAACGCTCGCAGGCAAGTGAACGCTCACAGACAAGTGAACGCTCACAGGCAAGTGAACGCTCACAGACAAGTGAACGCTCGCAGACAAGTGAACGCTCACAGGCAAGTGAACGCTCACAGGCAAGTGAACGCTCACAGGCAAGTGAACGCTCGCAGGCAAGTGAACGCTCGCAGACAAGTGAACGCTCGCAGACAAGTGAACGCTCACAGGCAAGTGAACGCTCACAGGCAAGTGAACGCTCACAGACAAGTGAACGCTCGCAGGCACTCAGCTGGAGAGAGTCATTAGGGGTTCGTAAGCGTCAGGAAATTCCACAACTTGATATGTCTACCCCGCTATCCTCAGAGTTCGTGATATCCACCATCGTCAGAGTTCGTGATATCCACCATCGCCAGAGTTCGTGATATCCACCATCGTCAGAGTTCGTGATATCCACCATCGCCAGAGTTCGTGATATCCACCATCGTCAGAGTTCGTGATATCCACCATCGCCAGAGTTCGTGATATCCACCATCGTCAGAGTTCGTAATATCCACCATCGCCAGAGTTCGTGATATCCACCATCGTCAGAGTTCGTGATATCCACCATCGCCAGAGTTCGTAATATCCACCATCGCCAGAGTTCGTAATATCCACCATCGCCAGAGTTCGTAATATCCACCATCGCCAGAGTTCGTGATTGTTCCAATTACGTTCCAGCCAATCAGTTCGAAAACTGATTGGCTGGAATATGAGAACCTTCAAATCCAGGGTTCCCAATCCAGGGTTCCCAATCCAGGGGTCCCAATCCAGGGGGTCCCAATCCAGAGTTCCCAATCCAGAGGTCCCAATCCAGGGGTCCTAATCCAGGGGCCCGAATCCAGAGTTCCCAATCCAGAGGTCCCAATCCAGAGGTCCTAATCCAGGGGCCCGAATCCAGAGTTCCCAATCCAGAGGTCCCAATCCAGAGGTTCTAATCTGGGGTCTGAAACCGCTGGCGAGGATTATTAGGTCAGACCGCTTGCGAACACGGTGTAAAATACATCATTTTATCTCTTGTTGAAGCTAGGATAGATTAGGATAGATTAGGATAGGTTAACAGTTTTCTCAGGTCATTAACCCTGGTCGGGTTAACGAGTCTCTGAGTGGGGACAAATATAACCCTAACGAGCCATTTATTTTCGTTAATTAATTGATTTGCGTTAATTCATTTTCGGTTATTTTTAATAACTTTTCCTGTCGATTAATAATTTTTTTTTATTATTCTTTATTAATATTTTTTCGTTAATTAATTTATTTTTATTTTTATAATTTTTCGTTTCGATTAATAAAAAATATTTTTATTAATCTTCATTATGTGTTAATTTATTTTCGCTAATTAATGTATTTTCGTCAATTTATTTCCGTTAATTAATGTATTTTCGTCAATTTATTTCCGTTAATTAATGTATTTTCGTCAATTTATTTTCGATAATTAATGTATTTTCGTCAATTTATTTTCGTTAATTAATGTATTTTCGTCAATTTATTTCCGTTAATTAATGTATTTTCGTCAATTTATTTCCGTTAATTAATTGATCTGTCTGGACAGTTTCAGTCCGAATGCGCACACTTCTTCCCTTAATTTACCACTCCGTAAAAAATCCAACCTTTTACCATACGCCCCCATGCAACCCGCCTAACCTATCGAGTCCGATGCATAGAAAACGGGGATATTTTTTAAGTCGATATGTATCGTAATAGGTTGCATTAGTACCGTTGGCTGCCACAACGTCGAAATCGCGACGTATTACTACAGAGGAAACACTTTATATCGACTAAATTAGAACCACCTGCCCTTCCGATTAGCTACTCCGTACAAAATACGACGGTTTGGCTTATTCAGAATCGTACAAAATACGGACGCAAGCAACTCTCCTACTTGACTGTTTGCAGTTAGGCAGTTGGTTGGTTGGTTGGGCAGTTAGGTTGAGTGTGTGTGTACTCACCTAGTTGTGTCTGCAGGATCGAGCATTGACTCTTGGATCAGTGTGTGTGTGTGTGTGTGTGTGTGTGTGTGTGTGTGTGTGAAGGGCAGGGTTTAGGTTGTGTGTGTGTGTGTGTGTGTGTGTGTGTGTGTGTGTGTGTGTGTGTGTGTGTGTGTGTGTGTGTGTGTGTGTGTGTGTGTGTGTGAAGGGTTGAGGTGGACCAACACAAGCCGGGTGTGTGACATCACCACTTACTCGGTACACCATGTGTGTGTGTGTGTGTGGCCGGCGGCCTCCCAAGTGACACTTGTACTAAGACACCACTTAAGACCAGCCACCCCAGCCAGCCTCCACCCAAACCCCCGGGCTACTGGTATTGTCTTAGTGACCTCCCTCCTCCCTCCCGTGCTGGTGTTGACCTCTTGGGAACGGCTTTAAGGGATACTCCGACCTCCATCAGGGGTCAATACGAACTCTTTAGTAGTAACACGAGGTAATATTATTGATGCCCATCAGTCAAACCCAATATAGGACATAAGAATGAGGGTAACTGCAGACGTCAATTGGTCCATACGAGGCATCTCCTATTGGTCCATACGAGGCAGCTCCTATTGGTCCATACGAGGCATCTCCTATTGGTCCATACGAGGCATCTCCTATTGGTCCATACGAGGCATCTCCTATTGGTCCATACGAGGCAGCTGCTATTGGCCCATACGAGGCAGCTCCTATTGGTCCATACGAGGCATCTCCTATTGGTCCATACGAGGCATCTCCTATTGGTCCATACGAGGCAGCTGCTATTGGCCCATACGAGGCAGCTCCTATTGGTCCATACGAGGCAGCTGCTATTGGCCCATACGAGGCAGCTCCTATTGGTCCATACGAGGCAGCTGCTATTGGTCCATACGAGGCAGCTCCTATTGGTCCATACGAGGCAGTTGCTATTGGTCCATACGAGGCAGCTCCTATTGGTCCATACGAGGCATCTCCTATTGGTCCATACGAGGCAGCTCCTATTGGTCCATACGAGGCAGCTGCTATTGGTCCATACGAGGCAGCTCCTATTGGTCCATACGAGGCAGCTCCTATTGGTCCATACGAGGCAGCTCCTATTGGTCCATACGAGGCAGCTCCTATTGGTCCATACGAGGCAGCTGCTATTGGTCCATACGAGGCAGCTCCTATTGGTCCATACGAGGCAGCTCCTATTGGTCCATACGAGGCAGCTGCTATTGGCCCATACGAGGCAGCTCCTATTGGTCAATACGAGGCAGCTGCTATTGGTCCATACGAGGCAGCTCCTATTGGTCCATACGAGGCAGCTGCTATTGGTCCATACGAGGCAGCTCCTATTGGTCCATACGAGGCAGCTCCTATTGGTCCATACGAGGCAGCTTCTATTGACCCATACGAGGCAGCTCCTATTGGTCCATACGAGGCAGCTCCTATTGGTCCATACGAGGCAGCTGCTATTGGCCCATACGAGGCAGCTCCTATTGGTCCATACGAGGCAGCTGCTATTGGTCCATACGAGGCAGCTCCTATTGGCCCATACGAGGCAGCTCCTATTGACCCATACGAGGCAGCTCCTATTAAGAACATAAGAACATAAGAACAAAGGTAACTGCAGAAGGCCTATTGGCCCATACGAGGCAGCTCCTATTCTATAACCACCCAATCCCACTCATATACTTGTCCAACCCGTGCTTGAAACAATCGAGGGACCCCACCTCCACAATGTTACGCGGCAATTGGTTCCACAAATCAACAACCCTGTTACTGAACCAGTATTTACCCAAGTCTTTCCTAAATCTAAACTTATCCAATTTATATCCATTGTTTCGTGTTCTGTCCTGTGTTGATACTTTTAATACCCTATTAATATCCCCCCGGTTATGTCCATTCATCCACTTGTAAACCTCTATCATGTCACCCCTAACTCTTCGCCTTTCCAGTGAATGCAACTTAAGCTTTGTTAATCTTTCTTCATATGAAAGATTTCTAATTTGAGGAATTAACTTAGTCATCCTACGCTGGACACGTTCAAGTGAATTTATATCCATTCTATAATATGGCGACCAAAACTGAACTGCATAATCTAAATGGGGCCTAACTAGAGCAAGATATAGCTTGAGAACCACACCAGGTGTCTTGTTACTAACGCTGCGATTAATAAATCCAAGTGTCCGATTTGCCTTATTACGAACATTTATGCATTGATCCTTTTGTTTTAAATTCTTACTAATCATAACTCCCAGATCCCTTTCGCAATCCGACTTCGCAATCACAACACCATCTAGCTCGTATCTTGTAACTCTATCATCATTACCTAACCTCAGAACTTTACATTTATCAGCATTAAACTGCATCTGCCAATCCTTTGACCATTTCAGAACCCTATCTAGATCAACTTGAAGTGATAGTGAGTCCTCCTCCGAATTAATTTCCCTACCGATTTTCGTATCATCGGCAAATTTGCAAATGTTGCTACTCAAACCTGAATCTAAATCATTTATATATATTATAAACAACAGAGGTCCCAGGACAGAGCCTTGAGGCACTCCACTTACAACATTTTCCCACTCTGACTTGATTCCATTTATACTAACTCTCTGTTTCCTTTGGTATAGCCATGCCCTAATCCAGCTTAATATAGCACCCCCAATACCATGAGACTCTATTTTTTTAATCAGTCTTTCATGTGGCACTGTATCAAAAGCTTTGCTAAAGTCAAGGTATACAACATCGCAATCCTTACCACTATCAACTGCCTCAACAATGCTAGAATAAAAAGATAACAAATTTGTTAAACATGAACGGCCATTTATAAAACCATGTTGCGACTCAATTATTAATTTATGTTTTTCAAGATGAAGACGAATTTTATTTGCTATTATAGATTCGAGTAACTTTCCCACAATAGACGTTAGGCTAATTGGTCGATAGTTAGACGCAAGTGATCTATCTCCTTTCTTAAAAACTGGTATCACATTAGCAACTTTCCAAAACTCTGGCACTCTGCCTGACTCTATTGATTTATTAAATATGGTTGACAGTGGGTCACAAAGCTCCTCTTTGCATTCTTTAAGCACCCTAGCAAACACTTCATCCGGCCCTGGGGATTTGTTTGGTTTGAGTTTTACTATTTGTTTACTATTTGAACATCCTCCCTGGTAACTGCTAAACTCGTCAACCTGTCCTCGTCCCCACCCACATAGACTTGTTCGGCTGAAGGCATATTGTTAAGTTCCTCTTTAGTAAATACAGATACAAAATATTTATTAAAAATACTACTCATCTCTTCATCACTATCTGTTATTTGACCTGTCTCAGTTTTTAATGGACCTATCCTTTCCCTAGTCTTAGTACGATATAACTGAAAAAACCCTTTAGGATTTGTCTTTGCTTGCCCTGCTATGCGAACTTCATAGTTTCTTTTTGCTTTCCTTATCTCTTTTTTAACATTTCTAACCAGTTGTACGAATTCCTGTTCTAAAGTGACCTCCCCATTTTTAATCCTTTTGTACCAAGCTCTCTTTTTACCTATAAGGTTCTTCAAATTCTTTGTTATCCACTTTGGGTCATTAGTATACGATCTATTCAATTTGTATGGTATACTACGTTCCTGTGCTTTGTTTAGAATATTCTTAAATAAGTTATATATTGAATCCACATCGAAATCCCCATTTAAGTCACCTATCGCTGGGTTCATGTCTCGCTCCAAGACCGGCCCACACCCCATACCCAAGCCTTTCCAATCAATTTGACCCAAAAAATTTCTTAGGCTATTAAAATCAGCTTTTCGAAGATCTGGCACTTTAACAGAATTTTCCCCTACTGGTCTATTCCATTCTATGCTAAATCTGATTTCTTTGTGATCACTGCTCCCTAGCTCACTCCCTATTTCGATGTCATTAATTTGTGTTTCCCTGTTAGTTAACACTAAATCTAAAATATTATTTTCCCGTGTTGGTTCCTTAATGTGTTGCGTAAGAAAGCAATCGTCAATTAATTCTAGAAAATCTTCTGCTTCACTATTCCCTGTTTTGTTCAACCAGTTTATTCCGCTAAAATTAAAGTCACCCATGACATAAATACTGTTAGATCTAGATGCTCTAGATATTTCATCCCATAGATGCTTTGCTTCCATCTAAATGAATTTGAAGTTGCTATGGCGTTTGAAGGCGGCTTTATCAAAGTCTTCTTAAGGCCCCTGTCTTTCGCAACTCTCCAAGACGAGGTCCCTTTACTGCTGGTCTCCTCCTTCGTTACTTCTCGTTGTTTTTTAAGCTGACGCACCTCCTCCCGCAGAGAGTCCAACTCTGTCCTCAGGGCTCCCACTAGAGTCACCAGGTCCTTCACTACACTATTGGTCCATACCTTCACTACACTATTGGTCCATACGAGGCAGCTCCTATTGGTCCATACGAGGCAGCTGCTATTGGTCCATACGAGGCAGCTCCTATTGGTCCATACGAGGCAGCTCCTATTAGTCCATACGAGGCAGCTCCTATTGACCCATACGAGGCAGCTCCTATTGGCCCATACGAGGCAGCTCCTATTGGTCCATACGAGGCAGCTCCTATTGGCCCATACGAGGCAGCTCCTATTGACCCATACGAGGCAGCTCCTATTGGTCCATACGAGGCAGCTCCTATTGGTCCATACGAGGCAGCTCCTATTGGCCCATACGAGGCAGCTCCTATTGACCCATACGAGGCAGCTCCTATTGACCCATACGAGGCAGCTCCTATTAGTCCATACGAGGCAGCTCCTATTTATATCCACCCAATCTCAGTCACATATATGTCTAACCTACGGTTGAATCAATCAAGGTATTTCTCAATATACAAGGTATTTACACATCACCATTCCTGGGTTTAGTTCGTTATACTACACAACAACACCAATATTGACGACGACAAATTAATTACCAAAAGAAGGCACTAATTATCCGCTTGCGATACAATAAATCCAAATGAGTTACAGGTTTTAGCACCTGTGGCCGTGGGCGTATCAGACCCAGCGGTGTGGATTTCCTTAATCCCCGGGGGATTAGTCCCCAGCACCAAACGACTGCCGGTTTGGACCAAGTGAGTGGGGGGGGGGGGCATTGGTAGAATGGGCCTAGGGGGGGGGGGGGAGGGGGTTAATCACCTGGTTGACCGGTCATTCATCAAGGTCACACAATAGGCTCATCCTTGACCTGACAAGATGGCCCCGCAGGGATTTATTAACGGAAGGATTCGCTAGAATGAATGGTTAAGCGGCTTGAAGGTGTAATCCGTATGCCTGTGTGCAGAATCGAGTTATTAGCTCTTGGACCCCGCCTTGGACCCACGGGAGACATCTCACGTCACGCAGGGTGCAGTCGCACCTCCACAGATCTCCAGTATCAGCTCTTGATACTGGTAATGGCTCAAAAGGGACACCACTTACGGGCTATTCATGCCCGTGCCATCTTTTGGGTGGCTTAATCTTCATCAATCAATCTTTCTAACCACTCTACCTTTTACTCAATTATATCTACTAAATATATTTATCTTACACACACACACACACACACACATACATATCCCCAGGAAGCAGCCAGTAGCAGCTGTCTAACTCAAAGGTACCTATTTACTGCTAGGTGAACAGGGGCATCAGGGGTGAAAGAAACTCTGCTCATTTTATTTCTGCCATCACCAGGGACCGAACCCGGACCCCAGTTTTACGAGTCCCAAGCGCTATCCACTCAGCCACGCCCCCCCCCCCATTACCCATGTGTGTGAATGTGTGTTCAAGGGTAACAGTGTTATATGAAGAGTCAGTTGGCAAGGATAAAGGAGTGTTATGGTCCCTGACAGTTGTTGCCCCGTGGGTGATCAACACGGGGAGCCACGGTCATCACGGACGGACCCTACAGGCGAGGCGGGGCAACATGCTCTCGGGAATTAACTTCCTGTGACCTCACATTGTTCATGTTCATGTGGCCGCATGTTGTGGAATACAAACATCTTTGTTCTGTAGTCATGACCTTGTACTGTATTGATGACCTCGTGGAATACTCACGTCAGTGTACTGTATTGATGACCTCGTGGAATACACACGTCATTGTTCTGTATTGATGACCTCGTGGAATTGAAACTACTTTACCTGTTCTTATGACTAAACGCCACAAACAGAGAACACTGTATGAACATCAGATGTCCACGGTTGTTCAGCACCCTCCCAGCAAGTGTAAAAAATATTCATGGAACACACGTGGAAGCCTTCAAGAAAAGAGTGGATAGTTTTCTTCAAGGAGTGCCGGACCAACCGGGCTGTGGTGGGTATGTGGGCCTGCGGGCCGCTCCAAGCAACAGCCTGGTGGACCAAACTCTCACAAGTCAAGCCTGACCTCGGGCCGGGCTTGGGGAGTAGAAGAACTCCCAGAACCCCATCAACCAGGTACAATCCAGGCACAAACGGCTTTGTACTAGCTAATACACCATCTGGTGTCATCTTTGCATTCAGATGTAAACTCAGTAATTATCAGTGGAGAATTACTGACGCTTGCAGAGACAAATTCATAATTGAACTTTTGGACGTTCATTTTGAACGTTTTTGAAGTTCATATGTGTGTGTGAGAGCCATATCTACCCTCAGGGGACCCAGATCTACCCTCAGGGGCCCGAGATCTACCCGTAGACACGTAAGAAAGATAAACAATGGACTTGAGATTGGATCCTCACTAATCTGACCTTTGGTACACGTTCGTATAATATGTTTCCTTTAGGATTTGAGGTGAGAAATGGTACATTCCCGAGACCAGTCAACTCGAAAACAAACAGATGCCATAGAAATACCAAGTGGATATATATATATATATATATATATATATATATATATATATATATATATATATATATATATATATATATATATATGGGCCGATATAGGCTATTATGTTCATAAATGGGAAGGGTAATTAAGGAAGAACAATCTTGGTATTGTGGGGGGGGGGAGGATGGTTGTCTGGAATTAGCAGTGTTGGGGGGGGGGGGGAGGTATGGTCGTAGGATGGCGTATCAGCGGGCCCCCCCCCCCACACACCACTCATTGATCTAATTACAAGGAGGCAGTGTTAGTGGAGCCAATAGGCGGGCAGTCGCGAGTGAGGAGCCAATAGGCGGACAGTCGCAAGTGAGGAGCCAATAGGCGGACAGTCGCAAGTGAGGAGCCAATAGGCGGGCAGTCACAAGTGAGGAGCCAATAGGCGGGCAGTCACAAGTGAGGAGCCAATAGGCGGGCAGTCACAAGTGAGGAGCCAATAGGCGGACAGTCGCGAGTGAGGAGCCAATAGGCGGACAGTCGCGAGTGAGGAGCCAATAGGCGGACAGTCGCGAGTGAGGAGCCAATAGGCGGACAGGCTAAAGCGCGGCATTTCCGCCCCCCCCCCCTCCTTCCCGCCCTCATTCATTTGGCGGGAAGGAGCATGTGTCGTGTCCGTGTCCACACGCAGGCGGATTAACGCACTAAACCCTACAGACGCATTTTTACGCATAACCTCCAGACGCATTGAACTCAGCCGCGAAGATTAAGACTTGGTAAAAATTCTCTGAATAACAGGGATGTGTTCGGCTGTATTTTTCTTACTTGCAAATTCACAGAATAAAAATATATAGGGTTTAGTGCCCCTGCTTAGCGGAGATGGCTTCGTGCTGTGTTAAATATTTAGCATTAACACACATGCAGCAGAAATATTACTGATTTAACTATCAAGCTGATGGTCTATCAAGCTCTGGGTCATATTCAAGACTGTAAGCGGCAGCGTCGAACAGCCTGGTTGACCAGATCACCAACCAGGAGACCGGGCCCGGGGACGTTCATGCCCTGAGCCATCACCTGGTAGACACAGGGGTAAGGAGGGATTGAGCTCGGACATGCCAGTGTTTGCGGATGATGCAAAGTTGATGAGGAAGAAGATGATGGTTGCATGAGGCTACAGGAGGACCTTGACAAACTGTAGGAGTGGTCACACAAATGGTTCCTGGAATTCAATCCCAACACGTGCAAGGTAATGAACAATCCAGTAATCCCGTGAAACAATCCAGTAATCCCGTGAAACAATCCAGTAATCCCGTGAAACAATCCAGTAATCCCATGAAATAATCCAGTAATCCCATGAAATAATCCATTAATCCCGTGAAACAATCCATTAATCCCGTGAAACAATCCAGTAATCCCGTGAAACAATCCAGTAATCCCGTGAAACAATCCATTAATCCCGTGAAACAATCCAGTAATCCCATGAAACAATCGAGCTATCTCATGATTGCTATTGATGCTGGGCGTGGTTAGTGGAATTGTCAATAACTTTACTGTGATTGTGAAGATTGTATCACATTCACATATATTGATGATAATTTATTATTTTTATTATAATTATTATTATTATTATTATTATTATTATTATTATTATTATTATTATTATTCCGTAGTTTTTAGTACCTTCCTCTCCGGTACCTGGATCACCAGTGGTTCTGTGGGATCATTTAGTGTTTCTGTGCCACAAGAATAGAGCATTGTGTTCGCTGCATAGCCATCACAGTCGATTAATGAGTTGAAAGGCGGGACCCAAGAGCCGTGGCTCATCCCCTCCTGCAAATACAACTAGGTTAGCACAAGATTAGCATGTGACAAGAGGCCGGTATGTCTGTACTCACCTAATTGTTGTTTGGGGAGGGTTGAGCTCTGGCTCTTTGGTCCCGCCTCTCAACCGTCAATCTACTGGTGGTATCACCTGCTGTGTTCGACAGATCTCGCTTCATAATTCTTGATATTCGACGGGGCTGTTGTTGTTGTTATAGATTCAGCTACTCGGAACAAGTTGCAAGTAGCACGGGCTATGGTGAGCCCGTAACTTACCTGGCACAGGAGCGGGGCAAGTAGCACGGGCTATGGTGAGCCCGTAACTTACCTGGCACAGGAGCGGGGCAAGTAGCACGGCTATGGTGAGCCCGTAGTGGACTTACCTGGCACAGGAGCGAGGCAAGTAGCACGGGCTATGGTGAGCCCGTAGTGGACTTACCTGGCACAGGAGCGGGGCAAGTAGCACGGGCTATGGTGAGCCCGTAGTGGACTTACCTGGCACAGGAGCGAGGCAAGTAGCACGGGCTATGGTGAGCCCGTAGTTTACTTACCTGGCACAGGAGCGGGGCAAGTAGCACGGGCTATGGTGAGCCCGTAGTGGACTTACCTGGCACAGGAGCGGGGCAAGTAGCACGGGCTATGGTGAGCCCGTAGTGGACTTACCTGGCACAGGAGCGGGGCAAGTAGCACGGACTATGGTGAGCCCGTAGTGGACTTACCTGGCACAGGAGCGGGGCAAGTAGCACGGGCTATGGTGAGCCCGTAGTGGACTTACCTGGCACAGGAGCGGGGCAAGTAGCACGGGCTATGGTGAGCCCGTAGTGGACTTACCTGGCACAGGAGCGGGGCAAGTAGCACGGGCTATGGTGAGCCCGTAGTGGACTTACCTGGCACAGGAGCGAGGCAAGTAGCACGGGCTATGGTGAGCCCGTAGTGGACTTACCTGGCACAGGAGCGGGGCAAGTAGCACGGGCTATGGTGAGCCCGTAGTGGACTTACCTGGCACAGGAGCGGGGCAAGTAGCACGGACTATGGTGAGCCCGTAGTGGACTTACCTGGCACAGGAGCGGGGCAAGTAGCACGGGCTATGGTGAGCCCGTAGTGGACTTACCTGGCACAGGAGCGGGGCAAGTAGCACGGGCTATGGTGAGCCCGTAGTGGACTTACCTGGCACAGGAGCGGGGCAAGTAGCACGGACTATGGTGAGCCCGTAGTGGACTTACCTGGCACAGGAGCGGGGCAAGTAGCACGGGCTATGGTGAGCCCGTAGTGGACTTACCTGGCACAGGAGCGGGGCAAGTAGCACGGGCTATGGTGAGCCCGTAGTGGACTTACCTGGCACAGGAGCGGGGCAAGTAGCACGGGCTATGGTGAGCCCGTAGTGGACTTACCTGGCACAGGAGCGGGACAAGTAGCACGGGCTATGGTGAGCCCGTAGTGGACTTACCTGGCACAGGAGCGGGGCAAGTAGCACGGGCTATGGTGAGCCCGTAGTGGACTTACCTGGCACAGGAGCGGGACAAGTAGCACGGGCTATGGTGAGCCCGTAGTGGACTTACCTGGCACAGGAGCGAGGCAAGTAGCACGGGCTATGGTGAGCCCGTAGTGGACTTACCTGGCACAGGAGCGGGGCATGAATATACATCGTAAGGGGGGATTGGTTATCTTGAGATGATTTCGGGGCTTTAGTGTCCCCGCGGCCCGGTCCTCGACCAGGCCTCCACCCCCCCAGGAAGCAGCCCGTGACAGCTGACTAACACCCAGGTACCTATTTTACTGCTAGGTAACAGGGGCATAGGGTGAAAGAAAATCTGCCCATTGTTTCTCGCCGGCGCCCGGGATCGAACCCGGGACCACAGGATCACAAGTCCAGCGTGCTGTCCGCTCGGCCGACCGGCTCTTTGGTTGACAAAGACAACACTGTCTACTGAGAGTTGAACAATTTGGTAGTCTACATTTGGCAAACTTTCTTCACATTCTGAAGTTGAAATTAAATAAGATCTAGCCGGTAGAAGACGGGAAGCAAGCTGGGTACAGGGAGCTAGAGCTCACTTCCTCCCCCACACACAGTCACTATTACTCAAGCGCTCTTAGTTGAAGAGTACAACCATTGTGATGGGTTGTGATGAGTACAATCATTGTCCCTGGATTTGAAAGTTCTCGTAATCCATCCTATCATTTTCCTGGCTGACGCAATATTTGCTGGGTTATGCTCCCTAAGGCAGCATAACCACCGAATAAGGAAATCAACACACGAACTACAGACTGGTTCCAGTTTAGTCACTGTCTTATCCCAGAGTTGAAGCATCTTAACATTCTCAACTAAATCTTCATCGAAACAAATTGAACTCTGGAGACATTATATGGGAGGAATTTCCTGTCTGTCCCTCCAGCTCTTGTCGTAAGCCACTGAGAGCGAGGTTGTGTATGCCTCAGGCTAGGCTAGACTAAGCTAGGCTAGGTTAGGCTAAGCTAGGCAAGGGTAAGGATAGGATAGGCTAAACTATATGCTAGGTTTAGTGGTCTTAATTCGCAAATAATCTCGGACCTTTATACGATCAGCTCGTCCTCCTAAGGTCTCCCAACGTCAAGAAACTGTCGTACTAAAGTGCCCTTATCCTAACTTGCCAGAGGAGCCAAAACAGAAAACGGGACAGTACGTCACTTTCGCCAGCCGCTGCCATTTTCTAGTACGACGATTTTTGGCCTTATGTGACGCATACGAGCGAAAAGCAACGTTCTTTGTAGGAGGACAGGCTGGCTAGGGGGACAGGCTGGCTAGGAGGACAGGCTGGCTAGGACAGGCTGGCTAGGGGGACAGGCTGGCTAGGGGGACAGGCTGGCTAGGACAGGCTGGCTAGGGGGACAGGCTGGCTAGGAGGACAGGCTGGCTAGGACAGGCTGGCTAGGGGGACAGGCTGGCTAGGAGGACAGGCTGGCTAGGGGGACAGGCTGGCTAGGGGGACAGGCTGGCTAGGACAGGCTGGCTAGGGGGACAGGCTGGCTAGGAG